GACACAGACGTCTGTGAGCGCCTACTACGTGCAGATAGCAATCTGGACACGTTGCATGAGTTCTCTTATTTAATCCTTGCAAGAGCCCCCTAAAGAATGCTTCATTTGTCTTTATATCACTGATATAAAAATGGAATCTCAGAGAGTCCCTTAACCTTGCCCAAAGGACACCCAGGAGTCTTGGAGCCAGTTCAGCCAGGTATGGCTTCCCCTTCCAGTTAGCGTGGCACCTCTGCAGTTACCTGTACAGGGATTCTGGGTTGGTTCTAACAACAGACTGCAATTTTTTTACCGCTTAAGTTTATGTTCACATTGGACAAATTAAGACAGGTCTGAAAGCTAGTATGTGGCCAATTATGAGAAATAGCCACTGGACTACTGCTACAGGACAAATGAGAATTCAGTGCTGGTGACGTGCTCAGACTCAGGCAGAATGACTCTCAGAACACTGACTCCAGCTGAGAGGCTTCGGCCCACTGCACCTGTCAAAGCTGCCCACTGGACCGCGTTCCGCTGCTCCTCACCCCACCCCAAGACACAGGAGGGGCAGGACCCACACTGGGCTGGCCTGCCCGAGTGGCTGGTGTCAGAGCTTGGAGGGGACCCCAAAACTGGACCCCGATTCCCAGTCTGCTTCACCAGGTGGCCCATCAGGGCACAGAAGGTCTTAAGATTCTTGGCTGAAGAAATTTGGAAAAGACGAGAGAATGGATGAATGAGGTGACTGCTAACCGAAGTGAAAGGTTTTTGATGCTGAGAAAGATGGGGTGGGAGAAAAGGTCAAGGGGTAAGTGGTGGTGGGGGAGACAATCAACATTTTCGTAAAGAAAATGTAAAAACTATGTGTGATTATGTTTACTCAAATCTGTGCATGCTTCGAGGCACATGTTGCTCAGCCAGGGTGGATTCTAAGAGCAACAGAAAGTGCAGGAACTCTAATGCCCCTAACATACTGATCTCGGAAAGCCTGCCCCTGGGGCTTCAGCTGTGGGACTCTAGGAAAGTTGTTTGGATTCTTGGAACTTTACTTTTCTGTAACCTGATTCCAGCCTACAGCACAAAAGGATTCTCTCTGGGTCAAGTTTCCCAGGATGTGAATCTCAATTTATCCACCCCTGAGGAAAGGGCTTACTTGCCTAATCCTTTGTCCACATCATGAGGATATTAGTACCTGCCATGGATTTACTGAAAAATAGAAGAGAAAAAAGGGCAAAAATGCCTGCCTGGTTTTTAAAATAATGAGAAAAGATAATAGTCTGTCAAAGAGCAGCTGTGACTTGACTGTGGGTCCTGTCTGATGAGTCAGTAGGATATTACTTTCAAATGCTCACCCTAAGAGACAGAATACACGAGATGGTGTCCACGAGGTTGTGTGTGTCCACTATGTTGTGTGGTGTGAGAGAAAATATAATTGTTCTGGACACAAGAGGCCCAGGCTTGAGCTTCAGTCTGGCCCATGCTAACTGTGCCTCCAGTATGCTCCTCATCCTCTCAAAAAAATCTGTTCCCGTGTTTATAAAACCGGCATGATGATATCCTGCAGGGCTTGGGTTCAAGATCTAGTGAAATGGTTTTGTGAACGTGTTCCATCAAAAATAGGAGGTGGGCCCGAAGGCTGTGGGGATGACTATTTCTCCACCTTCCACTAGGGGGAGTTGACCCAACCAGTTCTGAACAGAGAGATTTCTTTCTTTGTGAGTCTTGAAACTGAGGAGGTTCTGTATCTACAGAATCTATTTCCTTTGCTGTCAAGTAATCTACCTTCATCTTTTTAGGAAGAGCTACGCTTTCCACACTGAAATCCTGGGACCCTCAGAGGTGTCCTCCTGGGACCCACCTGGCCCCATCCCTCTCAGGAGCAGGGAGACGTATGGGTGGGGGAGGAGGCGACTCACCTTCTTTCAGCATCTTCTGTATTTCAGTACAGGAGCAATCATTATGGACAGTAACCTCAAAACCCAGGTTCCGGAAGCACCTCAGAAGGGCCTCAGCGTCTCTGTCTGTTCCTATTCGGGTGTCCATTTCTGTGTGAATCACAGGAGAAGTCAACATGAGCAGTACTTGCTACCTGCTGGAGCTGGTGTCAGCAGGCCAGAGGCTCCTGCTTGAACGGTGAGACAATCAAACTCAAAGGAGAAGGTCACTCAGTCTGCCCCCAAGGGGAAGCCTCAGCGTGGTCCCTTGCAGCGCCATCAAGGCATCCAGCAACGCTGGAGTCTTGGCTTCTGGTCCCTGTTCCACAGCAGCTAATGTACATGGTGGCCTCAGTATGAACATTGCCGAGTCCCAGCATGCCTTTCTCGGGATAACCACCTGCAGGAGGGCCACAGCAGTGGGCCACAGCACTTCTCCAGTGAAGTAGGAGAAACTGGCAGGGAGCAGGCGACACACCTACCTGTTCTTCTGTCGAAGTTCTTGTTGTTTATGATGATGCACTTGCCCACCTTCTCAAAGTTCATGCTGTACCGATGTGAAGTCTCTTGGTCCTGGCCATTATCGACGAAGGTCCTACAGGGATTCTTCTTTTTCTTACTGGGGAAATATAAAACCAGGAAGGGGCTTAGAAGATGTCAGGACAGCACTGGTCTCCTGATTTTACTAATTGTGCTCAAGGGGAGCCAGGAAAGTGGCAATATGTTTGAAAAAAAGACTGAGGGTGGATGCTTAGTTGTTATATTTAAAAGGGATGTTCTCGCTTGTGCAATTTCATGAAATGCTAGAGAAACACAGATCAAAGTCATGTTGCAATCCCAGCATACTCCACCACAGGGCACTCCGGGCTGGTGGTCACAGTCATCTCCCGGAGTCATCATGCAATACTGGAGCATCCTGAGTGGAATACCGGCCATCTCTCAAACTGGACAGAGCAACTCCACTTGCCCCCCCCCCCAAAAAAAAGCAATGCCGTTTACCAAAAGATCCCCCCATGTGGACAGCATTGTCGTTTAATGACAGTCCCCAACAGGAAATAATCTGAGTGTCTATTTGCAGTAGGGTGGCTAAATTAGTGAACATTCATGCAGTGCAATGCTGAACAATGTGAATGAACACACCTTGACAGCACTAACCCATGTCAGTGACTCCACTCACAGGTTGCTGGGTGAAAGAACCCATATGGGAAGCCCTATTGTACAGTGCATTTTTATGAAGTTCAGTGAATGCTATTAAGTCAGGATGGTGGCCCCTATGGTGGGAGGCGAGGGACTGGCAGGCATGTGAGGACATTCTCAGATGGCGGTGGTATTTCTTTTCTTGATATGAGAACAGTACATGAGTAATGCAGTTTGTGAAAACTCAAGTAGGTTCTGTTTTCTATATGGATGCTATAATTCAATTAACATATACATTAAAAGGGAAAGAAAGTAAGGATGATCTAAAACAGAAAATTGGACCCTTCCAATTGCTAGGCATTGACCATCCAGTTTACCAAAAGTCTGGTGCATTGAGGTATTGAGGGAGGCATCCCTGGGAGGCAGAGGGAAAAAATACCAAATATGAGTGGGAAGCAAATTTGCTAATCGTCCACCTGAATGTAAGCTGCATGAGCACAGAGACTTTTTATCTGTTCTAAAAATATCACTCAATCCCCAATATCTAGAACATCTGGCACATAAGTTGCTTAACAAATATTTGTTACAAACTACACATCAAAATACCTTGTGAAAGCAGATGCGAAAATGCTTTTTTTATTATTTATATTTTCTTACATCATTGTTTTCTCTTCAGGTGTAGTCCCTGTATTTTTCCCACCACCACAGCACCCCTGATCCATCACCATACTTCCCTGTGTTCTTCCCTCTCTGCTTTGACCTCTTGCTCTCCCACTCCCTTGCTATTTGCCTCAAATCTATAGTCAGCTTAGATGCAAAAATCGTAACAGAATACTACTATCTATAAATAGTACTAAATACTATGACCAAGCAGGACTGAGCTCAGGAGTACAAGGTTGGTTTAACATCCCCAAATCAACTAATGTAATGCAGCTTACTAATAGCATAAAGGACAAAAACATAAACCAATTCAAAAAACATATGACCAATTCAATTGACACAAAAAAGCACATGGCAAAACCCAAAACCCAGTTATAATCAAAATACTAAATAAGCTAGAATCACAATCTGAAAAACCCACTGCTCGTATTAATGGTGAAAATGCTTCTCCCCAAGAACAGGAGAAATTATGTCCACTCCTGCCACATCTGTTATGCCCACTCTTGCCACATCTATTAATTATCTTTGAAAGGTTCTAGTAGTGCAAACAAGGCTTTAAAAAAGTTGTTATATGATTGAATAAATCAGATCTTATGATATCACTTTGTGGATAAAGAAATGAGGTCCACAGAGGCAGAAAGTTGTCAATGTTACTCAGCTAGTAGGACCAGCATCTGGAACAGCCTCCTTGTAGGGGTTCTGAGACCTCTGCTCTTGAGAATTCACTAGAATTATTACTCTAGCATCCTCCCAGGGTGCTTATCCAAAGGTAGAAGTAAGTGAAAGTGGAAAGTGGAAAAGTGAAGTGGAAACTAAGCTTGTTACCCAACAAACTTATATCCAAGCGCATCTAACTCTTTAGAGTTTTCACTGTCTTATCTGCCGAAGTCTCTCAATCTCTGAAAGGATGTGGCCATCCCCCTTCCCCTCCTACCTTGGTCCAGAGTACAGATCAGCTCTACAGATTGAAATTTCATTTTCCTGATTGCTAGTTTTCAACTTTGCGATGACGTGATTCCCCGTGTTTATAAGGCCAGGCTTCTTCCCTGATATCATCTTACTTTTAAAAGACAAACATCCTGAATCTGTTCTTCTACCTTCTCTAAACAACTCCCACCTTTGTTTCCAGAAGGATTTTTCTTCACACTTCTTCTCTGACAGGGGCAGCTCAAAAGAGAACTTGGGGTAGAGGTCTGCGCCCATCACCCCTGTGGGCTGGGCCGGGGTCACTGTCCTTCCTGGCTTCAGCTTCCTGCCCTGAAGCCTCTGCACTGGTCACAAAGTAATAGTACAGGCTACTCATAGGCTATTTCTAGGACCCACGATCATAGATGGTGGGGGCATTCACTGATGGACATGCAGGCCAGGCTTGGAGATGGATGACTGGGCAGTAGCAGGTACCTTCTTCCATGGAGTCTCCCCAATCCCATGGCCCCCTCAAAGCTAAGTGAAGACAAAGGTCAGAAAAGTGAGTGTCTGCATTGCTCAAGGACATGGCATCAAGAGGACTAAGTTGTATTTCCTCATTGCCACCTTGTCCACATCCTTGCTGAAGTGACCCTGCGCACAGGAAAATATCTTTGCAGTTTTTGACAGATGCAGTCTTTGACAGATACAATCCCTGGTCCTCAACAGAAGCCTCTGGGGTAGGTGGAAGAGGAACAATTATACCTGCTTGTTTGTTTGTTTTTTAAAGAGTTGTTTATCTATGCATACAGAACTGGAGTACAGGCCAGCAGTGCAGGAGTGGTGAGAGGCTGCACCAGAGACAGAGTGGGGAGCAGAACAGGCAGAGTGACTGAAGTACACTGTGAAGGGGAGCTGCGGAGAGACAGGAGAGGTCTGCCGCGCCGTGTGAGTCACCTCAGGGGCCAGGGATCAAACTTGCACTGAAGCAGCTGTGGCTAGCTTCACAGTGCTGTGCTCCAACCAGCTGCGCCACCAGGGAGGCCCAATTGTACCTATTTAACAGGTTATAGTAACAACTAACGTTTGTTGGTGCCTGGAATCTCACTCGCCTTTTCTCATGGGCGCTGGACAGTCTCTAGCTAATTCAAGGCTACACAAAGGCCCTAGTAAGAGAAGCATTAAAGCTGGCAGGCGGAGGCCACTGGCTTATGCCTTCAAGTCTTTTAAGGTACAAAATTCTCCTCCTGTCTTCTGCTATATGGGCTTATTTTAAGTCTGACTACACAGCGATAGTCAGATTATTTTTAGGCAGCTATTAGCCCATCCTCAATGATAAGCAAAACAAAACTGGCAATTGATTTTTTTTTATAAGAAAAACAGGCTCCAATATAAAGTGAATGAAAAAGAAAAGGATACTGCTTCCATTAAGTTAGAATTTGGAAACTTACTAGTTAAAAAAAAATGGAGCACCACAGGGAAGTAAATATATACACACTTGGAAGAAAATGCTTGTCATGGATATAAAAAGTAGCTTAACTTTGAATATGCGATGTGATTCTTATCTCTGCTAAGTACGATTTCCCTTACCTGTCCTGCCCCTAAATAGAGCTCTTATTTTTCAAAATGAACTAAATATTTGCTTCCTCTTTCTGGATTTGAGTCAGTCAATATTAATTTTTCCTTCTACCAAAATAGCTTTTTGTTACACCCAGGTCTTCTGAGGTCACAGATGTGTATCAGAGAGTGATTATTAATTCAATCCCATTGAATTCACCTTCCTCAGAGGTGCTGGCCTGGGAAAACTCCATCTGTGGTTTAACTGTGGGGAAGCAAAAACCCTAATGACCAGCTTAAAGATGTCACGTGAGGCAGACAAATAAAAGGAGGAAATGACTGCAGAGGAGAAAGCAGAGCGCGTGTGTGTGTGTGTGTGTGTGTGTGTGTGTGTGTGTGTGTGTGTGAGAGAGAGAGAGAGAGAGAGAGAGAGACAGAGAGAGAGACAGAGAGAAGAGGAGTAAACACATTTCCTACAAGAATGAGGGTGGAAAGGGTGAGAGTCTCTCCTAACAGCCATGTAACTTTGAAGCCCCTTCCCCGGGGAATAATCTCCCTCTTGCCCTGGTCTTTCTCCCTTGGGGCTACTGTGAGCTGAGCCTGGGCCACTCCTTCCGTTTGGCCAATTCTTACAGCCACCTTGCTGCAGAGATGAAGTACAGCCTCACCTTAAGAAGGCTAAAATAAAAATGACTGTTTAGGGGCCCTCCCTGGTGGCGCAGCGGGTTAAAGCACAACACTGAGAAACTAAAGCCGCTTCCGCATGAGTTCGATCCCGGCCTGCCCCGGAGGGGACCACATGGCGTGACAGACCTCTCCTGACCCGCCCGCTGCTCCCCTCAGCAGTGTACTTCATTGATCTGCTCCCCACTCTGTCTCTGGTGAAGCCTCTCACCGCCCCTGCACCTCTGGCCTGTACACCAGTTCTGTATGCATAAATAAATAAATCTTAAAAAAAAATGACTGTTTAATTGTTAAATCACTTGCTATAAGTAGATTTCAAGATCTGGCCTATTTTGAAGATTTCTGGATTCATCCAATGTGTGCTTTTTTTTTTTAAGTTTTACATTTAAAAAAAAATTATTTATTTATGCATACAGAGCTGGGGTATAGGCCAGAGGTGCAGGGGCGGTGAGAGGATTCACCAGAGACAGAGTAGGGTAGAGAACAGGCAGATCAACGAAGTACACTGCTGAGGGGAGCAGCGGGCGGGTCAAGAGAGGTCTGCCACACCAGGTGGATCACCTCCAGGGCCAGGGATTGAACTCGCACTGAATCGGCCACAGCTAGCCTGCAGTGCTGTGCTTTAACCCACTGTGCCACCAGGGAGGGCCCTTGCGCTTATCATTTCTGATATCC